TTATTTAATTAACATTTAACCTCTTGAAGGCCTTAACAACTAACATTAATTTGTTGAACTTACGCTTTGATCTCAGTTTTAGAGTTGTGAGCAAGTAGAATATATGCAGAAGCTTGATTGGGACAAAAGGGGAGCCTTCAACATTGCTTTCTTCTATAAAGAAGTGTTTACTATTAACATCAATTTTATACCGTCCTAGAGGAGGATATTATCTCATGTTTACATTTTGTAATACAGAGACAGATTAATTGTGTCAAAAGGTTATAGGCTCCACGAAAGGCATTATAATGGTTATGGAAACGGGATCTTTTGTAGATGAAATGAGCCAACCATCTCGAAGATTGCCATTGACATTTGACACCACTGTTGTTCTAGCAGCACACTACTAGGAAAAGGTATAAATTCGGTCAAGAATTACTGACCGAAGAAGACCAAATATTGACTAAAAAACAATTAATTCGGTCAAGTATTTTGACCAAATTATTGAACCGAATATGCTATGTACGAAATACAATTTTGGAGAGAATTTTGTCTTGACTGAAATAAAAACCACTTTGATTAAGGTGTTTGACCGAAATAATGTTGAAAAAACCAATAAAAAAACACTTATATTCGGTCAATATATTTGACTGAAATACTTAAATATTATTTTAATAACATATTTCGGTCAATTATAATGACTGAAATATTCATGAATTCGTGGTCCTCCAATCATTTTATTTCGGTCAAGTACCTTGACCTACTTGACCGAAATAAGTAATCCATTTTGTTTCGGTCAAGTACCTTGACCAAAATAAAAATGAAGATTAACAAAAAAAATATTAACCTTTTATAATTTGAAATTACAATTATAATTATATTTCTAGAAATATAAAAAAATGAAAAGAACCCAAAATGCTAGCATTTGCAACAAGAAACCAACTTAAATACATAAATAAGTCAAATTAATATATATATAAGCACAAATAAGTTAAAACATATAACTAAATGAAAATATGGAAATAAATTAACAAAATATATAAAAGGTTAAACCCCCATTTTGGTCCCTAAACTATTGTATGGACCCCCGATTTGGTCCCTAAACTAAAGAAATCCCTAATTTGGTCCTTGAACTATTGTACGAACCCCTGAGTTGGTCCCTAAACTATTGTACGAACCTCTGAGTTAGTCCCTAAACTATTATACGAATCCCCAATTTGGTCCATACTGCATACCAATTTAGCCCCAACTTGGTCCTTCTATTAAATACTAACTCAGTGACCAAATTGTGGCGAAATTGTAAATAGTAAGGACCAAATTGAGTGTCCGTACAATAGTTCAAGGACCAATTTAGGCCAAATTATAAACAGTGGGGACCAAATCAGGGGTCCGTACAATAATTCAATGACCAAAATGGGGATTTAACCTATATAAAATAATAAAAATTTGAGGACAAATATTAAATAATGTAATAAAATCACCTCTAAAATACTACCTCATCATGTTCACCAACTTAAGGAACACCCTGAAAATGATCAAAATTTAAATCATTAATACATAATTAAAATACCAAAAACATAAGATTACATAAAATAAAGATAATTTTACATAATTAAAAAATTACAAATTTACAAATCAGATGGTAGTATTAATTTTGAAGAAAAATATATGAAGAATATGAGTAAAATTTGAAAATAAAACACTATAAAGGAGAGAAATAAGAGTATTTATGGACAACGAAAAAAAAAGAGATGAAGACATCAAGAAGTAATTATGAAAAATTGAAGAGAATTGTTGAAAGTTAAATAAATAAGAGGTAAAGAAAAATATTGAAGTTGGAGAAGAAAGACATATATTGGAAGGGAATCGGAGAGGAAGAAAGAAATGAAAGTGAAGTTGCAGAAATGAGGAAAAGAGTTTGGGATGAGATATATAGAGGCTGGTAGTTATTTCGGTCAGTATTATTGACCGAAATAAAAGAGCAGAAAATTCAAACATTTTCGCAAAAAAAATTCAAATGGCAAGGTGGATTTTTTTATCAATTCGGTCAGTATGCATGACCGAATTATATGTAGAGGGAGATTCAAAATTTTCCCAAATTATCTAGCAAAGATAAAGGGTTTTATTATTTTTTTGGGTAGCTTATTTTGGTCAAGCCACTTGACCGAAATAATTCTTTTCATATTTTGATCAAGTAGCTTGATCGAGTTAAAGATGATTTTTTGTTTTATGAATTTTCTCAAAATGATATATGGGTCTCCAGGAAGATAAAGGGTTTTTTTTTTATTTTTCTGTGCTGCTTAGTTCGGTCCAGTCACGTGACCGAATTAAAGATGAATTTACTTCTTTTTTTTTAATTTTCTCCAAAATGGTATATCGTTTCCTCTTTTTTATTTAATTTGCTTCAAAATTTATGATCTAAAATTTATAAGTAATATAATATAAAATTCTACCAATTAATTAGCAATATGTTTTAAACATATATTAAAACATGTAATTAAAAATTTTATCTAGAAACACATAAATATAAAGGCATAACCTAATATTATAATTAAAGTGTCATGATCTAAAATACTAATTAAAGCACTATGTCCTAATCTCATACATGTCAATTCATATATAATAGTAGAAGATGTTTTTGATATAAAGATCAACTTTAATAATAATAATCTCGATCTCCCATCATGTAAATATTTCCTTAAATTTATATTAAAAAAATTCATCTCTGCACACAAAAAATAATACATCTACTTTAATAATCATAATTTACAAATTAATCAATTAATTAAAATAATCAATATTTATCAATCAATTAAATAATAAAATCATAATTTTATAATCAATTAATTGATTTAATTAAAGTAATCAATATTTGTCAATCAATCAATTAAATAATAAAAT